ATCATCGATATATTGAGGGAGGAACATCTCTCCTATGCGTTCGATGATGATGAGCGAGGAAGGCTGGATGTCGATAAAATCCCGATGATCAGAGTGCATACTGTACCACATGAGCCATGGAATGTAAGAGGGCCACGTTATCCGAACCCGGAGGATCACCGTAATGTGGTCGCATACCTCGATGGAAAGATCCGGACAAAGGTTGCAGATTATTCTTACGGGCCGTATGCATCTCCATGGTTCTGTTTCATCGAACCGAATGGTACTCTGCGATGGATTCAGGACCTCCAGGAGCTGAATTCGGTGACAGTGCGAGATGAAGGAGGACTTCCATATGCAGACCTACTGTCAGAATCTTGTGCAGGAATTTATATCATTACCCTCATCGATTTATATTCTGGGTATGATCAATTCCCGATTTACACTTCGGATCGGCCCAAGATGGCGATGCATACTCCTCGCGGGTTGATCCATATGTGTGTGGCACCGCAGGGGTGGACAAATGTCGTTGCCATTGTTCAAAGATATATGACGAGGGTTATGCAGCCTTATTGTCCTAACATAACTTCGCCRTATATTGACGACTTGGCTATTCCAAGATCTTGTACGAAGGACCTGACGGAGGTGTTGCCGGGCATTCGCCGTTTTGTCTGGGAGCACATYAATGACGTGGTGAAAGTTCTTAAGAGGTTGAAGGAGTTTAATCTCACAGCTAGTGGGATTAAGTCTTGACATTGTATGAAAAGAGCAGTGATCTTGGGATTCCTTTGCGACGAGAAAGGTCGTCGGCCGGATGCGAAGAAGACTAATAAAATCTTGGAATGGCCGACCCCTTTCAAGTCAATCACAGATGTGCGAAGCTTCCTCGGAACCTGTGGGTTTTGGCGCATCTTCATCAGCAGGGTTGCCGCCAGAGTGGAGCACTTACGAAAGCTTGTGCGCAAAGGCCAGAAATGGGAATGGGGTCCGAAGCAGCAAGCGGTCGTGGAAGACATAAAGACTGAGTTCCGTGAGGGCGGATTGATCCTTGGAGTTCCTTTTTTCGACGATGATGAAAAACGTCCTTTTGTTATTGAGACTGATGCGGGGCCCACAACCCTGGGAGGGGTCTTAATTCAGAAGGATGCTGAGGGGCAGGAAAGACCTCTCAGATTTTAGAGTAGGACTCTGAATGTTGCTGAGAGGAACTATTCCCAGTTCAAAAAGGAAACTTTGGTCGTGCTTCACTGTTTCCATATCTTTCGGAGTTATGTGTTTGGTAGACGCTTCATCCTGCGGGTGGATCCGACTGCATTGGCTCAATCTTTGAGGAATTATTCACCTGCTGATCCCACCATTGCACGATGGTTGACTTATATTTGGATGTTTGACTTCGAGATTGAGCGGATTTCGGGGAGTTAGAATCGTGCTGATGGGCTGAGTCGGGTTGAATGGGATCCAGAGACGGATCAGGCAGAAGAATCAGTTTCGGTTGATGCCTTTCTAAAGGAGGAGGAGTTGCGATTGAGTATTAACGCTCTTGCCTACTTGACTGATGCAGCCACTCGGCATGGGAAATCGATATGGAATGCTCCTGCCTTTCACGAGGTACGTCCAGAACTCGTGGTGGAGGAACCTTTCATCGAAGAGGATCCATGGGGCGAGCAAACCGCAGAGGAAATGATGAGGCTGGCTTTGAACGATGACATCGACCTTATGCTTGATCCGCTAACGATTGAACAGGGCCATACGCAGGCTGATGACGCTTTCCAGACCGTTGGAAGGATGTCATATATCATGAACTTATTGGTTCATGAGGATTGCCTGAGGTTAATGAATGCGGAGGAAGGAGGCAGTGAGGTCAAAGAAGCGTTTAAGGAAAAGGAGTACGAAGGGGAGTATAAGAAGATAGGCATGTGGTTGAATGGGGAATTGGACGAAAGTGAGGTTGATCCGGTTGTGCGGGAGACAAGCAAAGGATTCGTTGTTCGTGACGGTCATCTCTTTAAGAAAGCTGCTGATGGTGTCCCAAAGAGGGTGGTATGCGGAATCTCTCGATAGTTGGATGTGATTGCTGCTCTGCATGATGGGATAGCCGGCGGACACAGATCTGCGCGGGTAACTTTGAACAAAATCCAACGCCTTTATTTCTGGGAAGGGATGAGCAAGATGGTGATCGATTTTTGTAAATCTTGTTTCCCTTGTCAACAGAGGTCTAACATCCACCACCTCGAGCCTCTAAATCCACGTTATGTGGCAGAACCAGGCGCAGTGGTGCATTTGGATCTCCTGGTAATGCCACCTGGGATAAATGGGTACAGGTATATCTTCGATGCTAGGGATAATTTGACTGGGTTCGTTGATGGTTGTGCCGTTCGCGAACGTACTGGGTCAGTCTTGGCAGAGTGCATTGAGGAATATTACCTCCGTTATCCATTCATTCAAGAGATTGTTATGGATCGAGGAGGCGAGTTTCGAGCAAAGGAGGTGCAAACACTTTTAAAGAGACTTGGGGTGAGTTTCAGTTATACGACGAGAGCGCATCCCCTGGCCAATGCACCCGTGGATCGAGGACATGCCACCTTATCTAACTTGTTGGCTAAATGGTGCAAGGGGGAGCCATCAAGATTACCGATTTATTTGAGGGCAGCCTTTTTCGTTGAGAATGTTACCATCAAACGAACGACCGGGTATGCTCCCGTCACATTATGGTTTGGACGACATGCGACTTTTCCAATTGAGAGTTTCCTGACCACTTGGCAGAAATAGGACGTGGAAACAAAACTCTCAACACAAGAATTGTTGGAATTGAGGGCAAGACAGATCATGGTGACTGAAGAACGGATTGAAGACGCAACTGTCTCTACTTCTGAAAGCAGGCAGGCTGATAAGGAAAAATGGGACAAGAGGCCATGTGTACGAAAAGAGCCGTTGGAAGTGGGAGACATCGTCTTGTTGTATTATATGTCGCTAGAAAAACAGTGGTCCAGAAAACTAGACAGTCGGTGGCTAGGACCATATCGGATCACTAGGAAAACAGAGCATGGGGCGTACGAAATAGAGGAGTTGGATGGATCTTGGGGTAGAAATTGGGTATCGGGTGCGCATCTACGAAAGTTTATCCCAAGAGTTTAGTAAAAACTTTTAGAAAGGAAGGGTAAAGGAGGTAATTGGTGGCATCAATTTTGGTAATCCTTCTTGCTTTCATATTGTGGTTCAACTGATTCCAACTTTTGTCTTAAGCTAACCAAGAAAGTTGTAAAGTATTAATACAAGCATTGAGATTGAGAGGTTATCAATGGGATGGGGACTCCTGTTGTTTTGTAATAATGAAGCTGTGTCTTACTGCCGCAAATAATTGTAAGATGACTATGATACTTTTCTCACAATTGTCGTTATGCGTGAGAGGTATTGAATATTGTTGTAAAGAAAAAGAGTGATACCAAAGGACTTTGTGAGATTTTTATCATGATTGGATGTTCATTGCAGGAAGAGTGTTGTGAAATGGCTGATTGATACTTATATTATTACAGTACTCGTCACATACATAAAGAATTATAGAACCTGGAATCCTTATGAAACTCCGGGTATGTGATTGTGAATGAGAGATTTCTGTGAGTACAAGTCTAAGGAGATGATCTGTATTTGGGTCGTATGCCTGACTTAACATGTGTGTTATTTGTCGGACATGTGATTCAATTGTTTGCCATGCCTTATGACTTCGTATTGTTTCGATTGTCATGCAATGAGGAATCCTAATGTTGTGAGTTCCGTAGACGGTAGTGAGGCCTGCGCCGGAACTTTGTTCCTGGTCCAAGGTGAGATGATGTTATCCTTCCTTTCGGGGAGGGTGACTGCACTATCGTCGAAAGGGAGGAAGGTGGTAATATGTTTGTTGGAACCTTGCTTGTGAGGGTGGCGATTACAGCTCGCCATGAAAGAAAGATTGATCACCTTTTCATTTGTGGTGAATGGGGTCGCCTCGACGAACGGGTGCGACTGTGCCAGACTGTTTCGTCGGATTCCCACCGACTCATCAGGAGGCTGGACCTCAACAATCTGGGTGGGGAAATGAATCC